TCCAATCAGTTGAGCGTATGAAAAGAACATAGGGAGGGGCGCCTGGGTGGCTCAGTCGGTTGAGCGTCCGACTTCTGCTCAGGTCATGATCTCATGGTCCGTGAGTTCGAGCCCCGCGTCGGGCTCTGTGCTGACAGCTCAGACCCTGGAGCCTGTTTCAGATTCTGTGTCTCCCTCTCTCTCTGCCCCTCCCCCGCTCATGCTCTGTCTCTCTCTCTCTCTCTCTCTGTCAAAAATAAATAAACATTAAAAAAATTTTTTTCTGTGTCTCCCTCTCTCTCGGCCCCTCCCCCGTTCATGCTCTGTCTCTCTCTGTCCCAAAAATAAATAAAAACGTTGAAAAAAAAATTTAAAAAAAAAATTTTTTTTTAAAAAGAACATAGGGAGAGATTGAAAGATTGAATGGAGGGATAAGAAATCACTGGTGACCAGAGAGCCACTGCACTCACGTGCTAGAGGCTGCTGCTAGTTTGTGAAGTGAGCAGAAGAGTAAAACAGGAAGAAAGAAATAAGGGTGTAGTTTGAAGGCTGACATGTTTAAGGGCGAAGTCTCTATTTATTCCTTATTTAGGATAAAGATAACCTAAGCATTCGTATAGACTGAGGAAAAAATTAAAAGCCAAAGGAAGAAAAGATTGGAAAGAGATAATTAATGGACGGGAGATAGGATCACAGAGGGGACGTATGACAATAGCCGTGTTTGACTCCTGGCTCCTACTTTTACAAGCTGCGCAAATTCTCTCTTTAAACCTCATTTTGTTCATATGTCAAACTGGGATAAAACATGATTGTTCTAAGACCTAAATGAGGTAATATATAGAAGTCATTAGCATGGTGTAAGCTGTCATAAAATAGCAGCTATTGTTAAGTCAGGAGCACAAACGGAAAGGGGAAGGGCCACCAATGCCTCTGAAATAGAAAAGAGGGTAGGGGAAGATCTGTGTGAACTCAAGAGGAAATTCCAACATTTCTGAGGCTCATCCAGAGGTTTTCAACACTGGCATCAGCTGGGGAGCTTTCAGAAACATCAATACTTTTCTCCTACCCCAGACCAATTAAATCAGTAACTCTGAAGTTGGGCATGAGTACCGTTTTGTTTGTTTGTTTTTAAAGTTCTCCAGGTAAACACACTGCACAGAGTTGATTCATTTCTGAAGCTTGACTATACATTTTTGAAGTAGACACTTCAAAACTTTTAAAGAATGCTGATGGCAACCGTGGGTGAATGTCAAAAATGTTACGTTGAGGGGCGCCTGGGTGGCGCAGTCGGTTAAGCGTCCGACTTCAACCAGGTCACGATCTCGCGGTCCGTGAGTTCGAGCCCCGCGTCGGGCTCTGGGCTGATGGCTCGGAGCCTGGAGCCTGTTTCCGATTCTGTGTCTCCCTCTCTCTCTGCCCCTCCCCCGTTCATGCTCTGTCTCTCTCTGTCCCAAAAATAAATAAACGTTCAAAAAAAAAAAAAAAAATGTTACGTTGAGCAAAAGAAGCCAGAAATGAAGAGACCCGCTCTGTATAATGCCATCATGATTCCATTGACATTGACATCAAGCAAAAAAGAAAAAAAGAAAAGAAGAGAAGAGAAGAGAAGAGAAGAGAAGAGAAGAGAAGAGAAGAAAAAAAATCTACGAGGATAAAAGTTAGAATAATAGTTTTTTTGGGGAGGGGAGGAGAATTAGCCAGAATGGACAACTAAAAACGTTCTAGGTTGATGGAAATATCCTGTATCTTGACTAAGGTGTTGGTTACTTAGCTAAATACATTGCTCAAACTCACTAAACTGTACACTTGAAATCTGTGCATTTTAGCATATGCATTTGTACCTATATATCTGATTACACAACAAATGGGGAACCATTAAAAGTGGTTGAGTAGAGGGGTGCCTGGACAGTTCAGTTGGTTAAGCACCAGACTTCAGCTCAGGTCATGATCTTGTGGTCCATGAGTTCTAGCCCTGCATCAGGCTCTGTGCTGACAGCTCAGAGCCTGGAGTCTACTTTGGATTCTGTGTCTCCCTCTCTCTCTCTGCTTCTCCCCACTCGTGCTCTGTCTCTCTAGCTCTCAAAAATAAATAAACGTAAAAAAATTGTTTTTAAAAGTGGTTGAGTAGGGAAGTTTAATAAAAGCTATTTCAAATGTGTAGAACACCTAATTATCCACTAGTTTTTCTGTTGAGCAGGTATTTAGTTCAAATATCTTTTTAAACATGTTTATTTAGTTTATTTTTAAGAGAGAGAGAGCATGAACAGGGGAGGGGCAGAGAGAGAGAAGAAGAGAGAATCCCAAGCAGACTCTGCGTTGATGTGGGGCTTGAACTCATGACCTGGGAGATCATGACCTGAACTGAAATCAAGAGTCAGACTCTTCACTGACTGAGCCACGCAGGCACCCCTAGTTCAATCATCTTATCAGTAAATTTCTACTAGGTAAAGGGGATATCCCAGGAAACTATTCGTTGAAAGGAACCAGCTTGCTGTTGTTACTTTAAATATTTAACCTTTCACATGTCTTATATTAGTTACATACCATTATGTTTAAGCGTATATTATATTTTGATTATTTGTTCAGATTTTCATCTTCCGGTGTTTACTTTTGTGGTTCAGGTTTTATTTCTTTGTTTTCTTCTTTGGACCTTTGAAGTGATGGAAAGAACATTGGGCCGGAATCCCATGGCTTATTAAGCCATCTTCTTGTTTTATTCAGGAGGCTGTTCCAAGTCTCTCGCCAGGAAAAGGAAGCTTAACTATACGAGCATATCACACAAACATTACCTTTGTCTTTACGTCTAAGACTTAACTCCTCCCACCCACTTGTCCACACACACAGACACTCACCATATAGACCTACCTTCATGCTCTCTCCTTTGCTGAGGTACCCATAATGCAATGCGTGGCTTTTGTGAGCCTCCGTGGCGCTACCAACAGCCAGCGCAGGATGGAGAGTTTGAAGCAAATAGAAGAAAATTGTCCCAGCACCGCTCTTACCTTCCGTATCCCCACGTTTTTCCATTCACCATGTGAAGGGAACATCAACCACACTTAACACTCTAAAGGAAGTTCAGAGATTCAAATTCTTCAGTGCTAAAGTAACGGTCGTTTGCAAGTTCTATAGCAGCCGATGGTGATTGCGTTAACTTCACCTAACACTAAAGAAGTAATTTGTTACCAGAGATTCCATTCCCTTCCTACCTCTGTTAGGATTTCTCCTGTTTCACTAGACTCTTTAGAGAACATTAGGCCATTATGAGCTGTTGAAATTCTTTTCCCTCCCCTACTAGTGTCTTATGTCACTTGCCCCTGGCGGCGACCACATTGAGCAACATCATCTTATTTTCTTTGTCATGCTTCTGAATTTGAATTTAAATGCCCCAGAAACACATACAAAAGGGTTATGTAATTTTTTTATGATAGCATTTTCAATTTCTCCCATTTGACCTTTTGATATTGCTTTCACGATTAATTTTTTTCTAGGGCCTTGTTGACACAACAGACCGCTGTACTAACCTGTTAACCTTCGAAAAATCAGAGTTGAAATCTGGTTTGAGTGAGAAACCCCAAACAGTTTCCAGCTGGCCTGGGCCTGATGAACAGTAAGCCAGACACACTCATGTCCATGATGGATGGGCTGCTGGTGAATAAGAGGAGGTTGAAATGGAATGGGATGTGAAGACAGCATCGTGTTTAATCTTAGAGTGGCTCATCTTAGCGCTCATGTTCAGAAAAGAATAAAAACGCAAGTGATTTAGCCAAAGAAGCCGTTTCTTTCTTTCTCCAACTTGCCACAGTCCTCAGGAGTCAGCCCCTTCTGCTATGTGCACTGATGTACGATGGCCAGGTGACATCATTAAGCTATTTCTTGTTCCTCCCTTCCTAATTATGCCAGATTGATATCTGGTTAAATTGCAGAAACAGTTTTTGTGGTTTTTTTTTGTTTGTTTTTTAAATTTTTTTTTTCCACGTTTATTTATTTTTGGGACAGAGAGAGACAGAGCATGAACGGGGGAGGGGCAGAGAGAGAGGGAGACACAGAATCGGAAACAGGCTCCAGGCTCCGAGCCATCAGCCCAGAGCCTGACGCAGGGCTCGAACTCACGGACCGCGAGATCGTGACCTGGCTGAAGTCGGACGCTTAACCGACTGCGCCACCCAGGCGCCCCTGCAAAAACAGTTTTAATCCCCTTTAACTGTAAATCCTGCTTTCATCCCAATTGTGAGTTAAACCGTACCCAGATGCTTGTGAAATCCTCAACACTGTCCAGGGGTAATTGAGGAATGCTCCGTTTGGTTAGTCTGCACCTTGAGAACAGATGACTCACCCTCTCTCGATCCCATCTTCAAAAGTGGTCTGTGTCTGGCCTTTGCCATCCTCCCTAACCCACCTGTCCACATCAAACATACCAATCACTGGTCCTGTGGTTTTACAAGCCTTTTGAGTCTCCAGAGCTGACCTTTCTGTTTTATTTTATTTCTAACTAGGGGCGACCGGATCGCCAAAATCTCCAAGGGATATTCTTTGAATAAATACACCCAGTGCTCGCTTCAGCAGCACAGACACGTTTGGTAATTTTATTGTATATTTATTTGAAAAGAAAATATTGCCATTCGGTCATCACCACTTTCCAACACGCTATGCTTTAGCGTGTTCATGCTACAGTGACTCCCATATGGACAGAGCAGGGTGGGAGCCTGTGAAGACCGAGGCCAGTGCTAGAAGCTTCTCCTCCTGAGAAGCAACTCTGCAGAGCAGTTATGACCACAGAACAGCTCCGGGGAAGCCTTCTTACCATGCGTGCACCCCGTGGCTACAGCCACTTGCCCTTTGAAGGCTGAGCCCTTGAGCAGTGTCCTTTTCTGACATTGTCACCCAGAGTAGACATTTACAGCAGTCTCTGTTTTGCACAACAGACATGTGCATGTATGAGGCCTTGAGCAGGGTCAGCTATATAATTTGCAGGATTCATTACAGAATGAAAATGTGGGGCTTCTTTTTTAAAAAGTAGGAGAGGGCTTGTTTTGGTAGCTTGTATATTAAAATTGGAGCCATACAGAGAAGATTAGCACGGAAACTGCACAAGGATGACACGCAAATTCGTGAAGCGTTCCGTAAAAAAAGAAAGAAAAAGTAGGAGAGAAAATGCCTTTAAAGGCAATAAAATAGGAGCCCCTGAGTGGCTCAGCCGGTTGAGCCACTGACTTGATTTTGTCTCAGGTCTTGATCCCAAGGTCTTGGGGTCAGGCTCCACCCTGAGCCTGGAGCCTGCTTAAGAGTCTGTCTCCCTCAGCCCCTTTCCTCCCCGTTTGCACTCTCTCTCTCTCTCTCTCTCTTTAAAAAAAAAAAAAAAAAAAAAAAAAAAAAAAAGTATTAAAACATAAGGCTTTTTCCTTTCTTCTGAAGTCTCCTTTTGATTTATCATGGTAATTAGGTTTGTTTTTTTCTTTTTTTTTGTTTGTTTTGGTTTGATTTGGTTTTTGCTATTTAATGTCATTCTAAATCAGAAAAAATTCAACATTTTAATTTTTAAATTTTTTTAATGTTTATTTATTTTTGAGAGAGAGACAGACAGAGACAAAGTGTGAGTGGGGGAGGGTCTTGAAAGAAGAAGGGGAACAGAATTCTGGCAGGGGTTCAAATTACCTCACACCGGAAAGCCTGTTCTTGGGGCTTGACTCTACCTAGCCAAATGAGGAGTCATGACGAGGCTCAACTGACTGAGCCACCCAGGCGCCCCCAGAAAAATCAACATATTTAGGTGATTAGCAGGAAATGTACCATTGGTCTTTATAGGGTGCGATACTAGTTTTAAATGAAAATATAAGAGCATTCGTCTCTCAGGTAGCATACTCAAAATTACACAAGCCAAATTTCAAAGCTGCATGTCTATTGTGGTTTTATTGCAACAGTGGAAACACTGCACAAAAGCAACTCTGCTTTTCACAGCACACATTCTACCAACTCTATTTTCAGCTTACTGAAGAGTAAGGAAAGACTGAACAGAAAATAAACCATTACCCTATCTTTTCCTTTCTTTCTGGGTCACCATTTTCAGTATTATTGGCCGACTCAAGAAAGTAACACAAGTAAAGAATGGGTTCCTTGATAGGGTTCCTTGTTCATTAGTGTTCATTAGAGTGTCATTGTCTTCCTCCGGGTCTGAAGCAGGTTCTGTTTTAAACAGAAAGCATGGCCTAAAGGGGTTGTCAATGACCCTTCATACCCAGCTATAAGACCCAACTTACTTGCCTGGTACTTGTACTGAGTCACTGAACTGCCATGCCTTGTGGATCCACCAGAATTCTTTGCTCGTTGAATGTCATCCATTCTATTTGTAAACAGGCCTACAAAGAGTCGCAGTGCCCGCACATATAGCATGTAACTTCTCTGTTCACACATGTGCTCCACTGTCCCATCACATTTCACTTGCAAAACACAAGTTCAAAGATAGCATGATTAAACATTTCAAGGTGCAACAATACAGGATTAAGTCAAACAAGGGACCCTTTGAACATGGGCCCTGGGATACTGGATGGTCTGCACATCCATGAAGTCAGGCCTGGCCTTGAACTAGGAAACCGCTTGTTTGATCGACTCAGGTTCAACCACGGAAAAGGTACCAAAGTCAAGAATATTTTTGGAAGTGTCAACGAGGAAGAAACACTTAAGTTACTATTTCTTACGTTTGTAGACCACCGGACATCAAAATTTGGTTTCCTTTGATTGAGTTCATTGGGTTGACTTCCAACACCTCTGGTTTCCTGTTCGATGCCACAGAATTATTTTATAAACTATGAATGAAATGGATTACCTCTGGCTTCATCTCTGCATGGGTGCAGGCACATAAGTTCCTCAACCTCTTGAGCCTCCAGGTTGCAGGGCACCCTTTTTATTCATTCCTGGGTCATGCCCCCTCAGACCCTTAAGTGGTGATGTCTTTTGGACGTGGCATGTGTGATTTATGAAAGGCTTTGGTTCTGGGTGGACTTTGCCTGCAGGGGCTGACCCTCCACCCACAGGGGATGATAGGTAGATAATAATGCCTTGAGAGACAAAAGAGGAACAGTGAAAAAAAAAGACCTTCGCCCCAAGGAGTTATATAATCACTCCACAGCACTGTGTACACACACACACACACACACACACACACACACACACACACATAGAGGTGGGGCTGCAAGGAAGCAGTAACATGGATTTCTTTCCCAAGGACTGACACAGCAAGTTATCTCTTCATAACTGACATTTTTAAAGCTGGCTCTATGCACAATTCAAGCTTTTGTCTTATTAAATTACTGAAGACAGGGAGGATACTAGGAGTCTGCAAATAATCTGTTTTCCTCAGACATATCAGGGCAGTTGCCAACCACGGCTCCCATCTTTAACTTCTTTCAGAAAGTGAACCTGTTACCTATCAAGAGATATAACCATGGGGCCGCATGCACATGTTTTTCTAGTGAGTTACATCCTGGCTGCGTCCCCACATTTTTCTCCTTGTGTAGTGTGGACGGTTCCAGAGACAAACCCTCACTGCTGTAACATTTTTGTGGGAGCAAGGAATGAGAGCTAGTCCATTGCATTCAGGAGAGTAGTGTGTTGGGCTCCATAAAGGAGCTGGGACCATCCTTCCCCTCCCTGCCCTTGTGCGCTGACCTCAGCCTGCCTTGTCTGCAAGGATAAACAACGACCAGTTTGGACCTGCCTCTGCTCTTGCTCTCAGTCTCCCTCTGTGACCTTATCCTTTGGCCACAGCAGTGTCCCAGAGGCATCGTGCCTGAAGCCGAGTGACTGGAGTGGCAGGGCTGAGTCTAGAATACCACAGAAAGGCGCTATGTCTTGGGTACCGTGAATCCTCCTTGAGAAACCTCTCCAGGTACCAGAATTCAGCATGACTTGCATTCCTGTCAATCAACCAAAACAGGCACAGATATTAACTGAGAGCCTTCTAAAGAATATGCTGGTGATGGACAGATGTATTTGAAAGAATAAAAACCACCGTTCAGAGTTTGGCTTTGCATATGTCTCACCGGATGACCTTAGACCAGTTATTTAATTCTGGAGGCTTTTGTTGTCTCAGAAGTAAATTAGAGATGAAAATACCTCTTGCCTATCTCACGGTTTAGAGATTGAACCAGGCTAAACACTGCACATATAATAACACACCATAAGAAAACTGTTAGAGTCGACTGCAATGTCAGGCATTACTATCAAGTGCCTAATACCATCCCAGGCGGCATGGAATAAAAAGTAACTAATATTTCATGCCTATCTGAAATGAAATCACAATCTTGTTGGGAGGAAAGGCTCTGTATGTGGTACAGATATGCTTTTTTAGATCTCCACATTATATATTGTTCATAACAACACTTCTGTCTACGAAGTTGGTTCTATGATTATGTCCATTTTACATATGAAGTAATGAGATGCAGTGATCCTGCATACCATTTGAAGGTCACATGCCCGGCTTCAGGAAAACGGCAAACTCAAGATATGAAACCCATGAAGTCTAACTCCAGACTCCAGACTTCACCTTGACACCATGCCGTATCTTTTCATTGGTATTATAGACTTAGTACAGGCAATAATTAAGTGGACTTAGTTATAGAAGAGATCAATATGTAATCTTCTCAAAGACCCTATGTATCTTTCCCTGGGAGCCCTACTTCTAGCTTTATGATAAGCCACAGTAATAGCCTAACCATAAAAACTAAGCCTTCTTAATTGCTCCCCCTCTAAAAGTTCTCGAAATCTGTCAGTTTATTTAAAATGCGGAGCTTTTGACGAAGCCCTTCATGGGACACTCAGACCCGAGTTTCTGATGCTGGTGGAGAGGGTGTCTACAGGAAATTGCCAAGCCGGTCCTATAGGTGCCAGCGCTCTGCTCACGTGTGGGGCTGAATCTGCCAATGAACATATTTGGTTAGGACTGCTTCATTGTGCCCGCTTGCTTAAAAGTACTGAACTGTTTTATAAGTTCCTTTGAAACAATGCATAAGGAAATAGAATTTAATAGCATTTCTGGCTCTTGAGTCAAGTATATGTCAGATTACAACGAGCAATTTGAAAACACCAAAGTAGCACAATTTAAAAAAAAAGAAGAGGTCTTAGTGAGAAGGCTGTTCTGGAGCAGAATATGACAAACTTAAGAGCCGCTCCATGTTCCTTCTTCAAATATCCGAGAGAATTCACTGGTTCCTAAAACTTCACGCATGTCTTTTGATTCCTCCTTTCAAAAATCGTAAAATCTTGGCATGACTGTTCCTAATTCGGAGTCTACTAATGACTATCTTGTGTTCCTTTTAGCTCTGTGTCCCCACACTGCTACATGAAACATGGGGGCCACATTCCAAGGGCTTTGGATAGCCATGCTGAAACTCCATAGATCTCTTGATATCAGAAAATGGGGTATTTTTCCCTGAATGGTTTTTTTTGTCATGAATTTTCTTCATGAGTTTTCATTTAATGTGAAGTGTTGAAGAGTGGTCTATTCCCTCACGCTCCCAGCACACTGTATTGAACACCAATCTGGTGCAGTGAACTTGGTGCTCAAGTGACCACTTATCAATGGCCATTCGCCATTAGAGATTTTAGGAATCTCTTGAAGATCTATGCCTCTGGCAGAATACTCCCTCGGAACCACGCATCACAGTGGGATGACGCAAAATCAGGCGATTTCAGAGCACTTTCTTAGGTGAGTTTCTAAGAGGTATAGAACCAGTGGACGTTTGACATTCAGCCAGAGATGCGGTCAAAGAACCCGGGCGGCCAGCAGAAGCCAGATACCCTGCAGCTGCAGCCACAAGATGCATGCTGAGTTTTGGATGTTTGTGCTCCAAAAGAACAGCTTTGGACTAAAAGAAGCCTTTTAAGGATCTCATGAGGAATCACAGGTGCCCCAGGATGACCTAAATGACAGTGTTTTCTGGAAGTTCTAAACACAGTGAGAACTGTGTGTGCAGAAGGATGGTCACACATGCCATTATGAGTCAGAGTTTGTCTTCCCTACTAGGCTCTAAGTCTGTGTCCAGTTCATCACTGTTTGCCTTGTGCCTAGTACAGGCTCTGGCCCCTGGTAGCCATTCAACAAGCTGGAGCGGTTTCAGAGGGTGGATTGTCTTT